TTCGACCGTGTATGTTCTTCTATGCTATGTCATTTCTATATGTCTGGTCCTAAGTTATGCACTAAGGTAATAATTGCATGTTTCTCTCAAGGTTGATTGGCTTTAACAAATTTATCGAGATCATGTGGCCTTATTTAACATAATCACAGTTGTTCATGACATGAAATGTGTTCACATTGTATCATTGATTGATCTAAATTCTTCTTTGCATTCCAAGAAGAATCCGAGTACCACCGCATTCATGATACAAGGCATTGCAATTCTAAAAAAAATATTTTTATTACTGTGAAACTTCATTGTACTGAAAAGAGTGCATGCTAGGTGTCTTGGTTATACTTTAGACTAGCAAACGAGTTAGAAAAAATGGCCTTGAGGCATATAATTATGTTGTGAAATTATTCAAGAAAAGTATTGGAAAGTAACCCATTTGAGAACATTTAATTTAACATACTTGCAAACATGTGGTGGTTATGAGTTTTTAGCTTATTTGCACGCATTGTGTTTTATTCGTTTGTTTCAACCACCACCACCCCATGCGTAATTCCAGCACAAATTCGATAGAGTTATACTCATTGTTGATTTTATCATATGCCATGAATGAAAGTCTATGTCACTGATGAGAAGGAAATTATAATGGAACCATCATTAAAGTGAGCGGGGAATCCTAACATAGTTAATTATCACTAATTTTTTCTATCTATTGATGTATATTAGTTCCTGATTAGGCTTTTAGTGCATCATGCAGAAAATCATGTATTTCATCACACTTGTTCTAGAAAACCTTGCACTGTCATCAGATGACAAAGAGGACCTGATATATTGTTTGAAGGTAATGTATTATCCTACAGAGCTATGGTTGTGTTATTATTTCTTAATGGCATCAACAGATTCTAAAGTTATAAATTTTTGGGGGGGGGGTCAGATTTCATTATTGATAATATTTACTTATATGCTCCTAAGATTCTGTCAAAAATGTATTTCAAATTGTGGTAAAAGTTAATAAGGAACTTGATACTGAGATCATAAGTTAGATTTTGAGGTGAACCTTTGGTAAATGTCTATGTTACAAGATAAAAACTCTTTATCTTGTCCCTACCTTTTTGATACTGGGATCAAAGAACTTTTGATATTTTTGTACCATAATTGCATTTTCTCTTCTATCTTGTCCCCACTTTTTTGTAAATCATGGGAGACATTGATGAAAGGATAATCATGAGGGTTTATAATGTTATTCATTTTCCTTATCAACTGGTGGAGTCTTGATTATGGTAGCTTGAACATGATGGTGCCGAGTGTTGATTGTTCTAAATTACTGAAGTAAAATCAATGTTTATCGGCTTGTTCCTGAATTGGATGTCTGGATAAATACAAACTATTTTTTCCCAGTTTACATCTTGACATTTCTAAATTAACTTTTATCCTATTTGAGTTAAAGAGGGGAAACACTCTTGGTTTGTACATGTGATGCTTTTAAGCTTGTTTTAATAGCCAAATTACATAGGGATTAATTATATATTTCTTTATGGTCTTACTCTAATCATCTGATATTCATTATCTTCAGTCACCAGTATGATTATTACAGAGACAGGGATTATAAGAGAAGAAGTTGTAGTAGGAGTTATGACCGATTTGAACGTGATCGATATCATGAGAGAAACATAGACTATCGGCGTAGAAGCAGGAGCCGCAGTGCAAGTCCTGGCTATTCTAAAGGTCGAGCAATAGGGCAAGATGATGATGATGATCGGCAGTGGCAGTAAAACAATGAGGTTTATATTTGTACTTCGCTCACATTTTAGAAAGTAATTTCCTCTATTTTCAAAATCTTTTTTGCTTCAGCTTTGTAACGATACCTTCTTTGTTTTTGTGTTGCTCTTGCTCACCGCAACCCTAGTCCTCGTAAAAGACTTTCCCCACACAAGGCATCTCCCAGGGGTGAAAGTCCAGAACGCAACTTTGATAGGCGGTCTCCAAGTTCTCGAAGTGTTTCACCACGAGGTCGTCTTGCTTATTCTCGTAGCCCATCTCCTCGGAACTCTGATGTTGATGTGAGTTTCACTTTCTAATGTATTATTTTTCCCTTCCCCTTTTTGTTCAATCTTTTTTAGTAAAATTACCTTCACAAGAACTTGTTCTAATTGTTTACCATTTACTTCTTCGATTTGAATTTTGTAGTAATGATCTTACGGATGGATTACCGGAGAGGCTTTAAGTAGCAAATTTCTGGTTGCTGGTCTTGAGGACATTCATATATCATGTGTTTCCTAGTGTTGGTAGGACTTTTTTTTTGTGTTTTAATCAATTGTCCAAAACCTTCTCTTACTTAAGTAGTATTTTGGTGTCTAAACTTATGTAACGTCTAGCTTGATGTTTCAGTACCCACCAAAGATTTATTTATTTAACTTGGATGTTTGTAAACTTTGATTTATTTATGTTTTTATGTATTATTACTTAATTAGAATCGTAATGAAATTTAAGATGGTTATTGGATATTATTACATGTTAAATTTGGGTAATACAAAATAGGAAGAAGATATATTGAAAATCAATTTCGATTAGCGTCGTTTTAGGGGAAAACACCACTAACGGAGTGCATATTTGGCGGCGTTTGTATAAAAAAAACGCCGCTATAGATCTAACCTTTTGCGGCGTTTGTATTCAAAAACGCCACTATAGATATGACCTTTTGCGGCGTTTGTATCCAAAAAATGACGCTATAGATCAGAGCTTTTGTGACGTTTGTTCCAAAAACGCCACTATAAATCTGACCTTTTTCGACGTTTGTTCTGAAAATGTCACTATAGATATCGACCTTTTGTGGTGTTTGTTCCGAAAACGCCGCTATAGATCTCGACTTTTTGCGGCGTTTGTTCAAAAAACGGCGTTAACTTTAGCGGCGCTGGTATGGCCGGCGCTTCTTGCGGTGTTTTTCCTATCCCCGCAAGTGCTTTTAGCGGCGCTTAAAAACACCGCTATAGGACTAAAAACCGCCGCTAAAACTCTGTTTTGATATAGTGCATATCAATTGTTTTCTGTCTTATTCCCAACTTTTCCTCTGACCGGAGATAAACAATCAAATTCAAATATATATTTTTCTATGTAATTATCGTTATCGATATCTAATTTTTTAATTGATTAATCTAAATTATATATTATAAAATACGATTATAATGTCTCTTCTAATATAATTTATTTTGTTTCATAATGTTAATTTATTCTCTTATTTGACAAAATATTACAATATTTTATATGTATGTGATTCTATTTTTTTATATTTGTTATTCGAGAGAGCTGCGAGGAAGGATAAGAAACTTGCTGAGAGGGGGATCGAGAAGCCACTTGAGCCACCAAAATATGGACTACTTGTTCCAGAACTTATTCCTTGATCCATCCATGTTCAGTTGTGATGATGTTGTTGTCTCGTTTGAGATCGGAATATTTTGAAACAATTCTTGCATCTTCGAGCATTCATTTGTTAAAACAAAGGCATGATTTTACATCAGGAGTGTAATTTTTTTATAAAAAAAAAAGTATATTAAAATGTTAAAGAATTTATAATTATAAAATTTTAAGTCATCAATAAAATATTAATAAATATATAAACTTTAAAAAAATTAAATTTTTAAAAATACGATCGCCCTCTAAATATATCTTGATCAATCCCTATTTTATACTAAAATGCTACATGTGAAATGAATTAAACATAAAAACATTTAATTCGGTGAATTGTGTATCCATATTAAAAGTTTGTAAGGTTGATTTTATTTAAATTAAATTAAATATTATATTTGATTTTAAGATCATGCCATGTACTATTGATGTTGAATTCATCGATATTCTCCCATTTGAATATCTAAGTCATTTTTGCAAAGTTTGAATCATATTATTTAATCCAATATAAGTTTGAAATTTGAAAACAATTATTGTTATTATTTATTACTATTATTATTATTATATATCTCTTAGAGAAGAGATGTCGCCATCAAAATTTGTTAGTCGGTAAACTATTACTATACATCTTAAAATAAACGGATCAGGGAGAGGTATTTGAACAAAAAGACAATAAGAAGCGTTAATCACAAAATAAACAAATTCATTTAAAATCATTGAATATAATTGAGGTAAATTAATTAAATAGGCTAAGTATCAATATCAAATCAACGAGCTAAATATGACCAATCCATGTTGGTTCACCTCTTTGTATTTCTTTTTATGAGATAGAAGTCGTTAATTTTATTAAACTTTAAAAAATATCTAAATTATAATAAAAATTTATGATTGCAATCATAAATTAAAACACATAATAAGAACATTTTTTTTTATAACTATTAATACAAGAAAACAATCACTTAAGATCACAATGGGTCAACCAATTAAAAGACAAACGGAAAATCGTAAATAAAAATCAAAAACATAAACGAAAATAACGGTCAAACGACCGAAAACGTGTCTGAAGACATGAAACATACTATGAAGGCAGAGGAAAAAAAATATAAGATTGATGCATACCGATAGTCGACAACTAACACTAAAATTGATGCAACCGCCGAGTATAAAAAAGAAAAAGAAAAAGGACAAACGGCGAAAAAGAGAGAAAATTAGGGTTAAAAAACAATACCTCTTTGTACTTAGCTCTTTTAGTATAACTAGATGATTAATTTTTATTTTTTTAAGTGTAATCTGATACTTGAAGTTTCTAATAAATTACACATGTTCATATCTTTAATTTAATTTAAACAAATAACCTTTAAATATGTAACATATATGATCTCTTTAAATAGATAACATTAAAATTTTAAATATTAACTAATAAAAATTTAAAACTTACAGTTAAACAAAGGTTGGATACCTAATCACCATCCGTGTCGATCTAATTGACGTTGGTAAATGATTTGACCACCAACGACTTTTATTTTACGTATATATTTTACATATACATGATTTTTTATATAAATTTATTTATTGTTATTTAATAAATCACTCTCTTTACAAAAAAAAAGTTTTTATCTTGTTTCATGTAAGTTTTATATTATCTCGTAGATGAAAAACTCAAACCCAAAAGAGAATTTTTTTTGGGTAAACTATGCGATTAGTCCCCTATGTTTTCGGTTTGATCGACTTTGGTTATCAATTTAAAATCAAGAAAAAATGGTCCATAACGTTATCGATCCGTTCGATTTTAGTCCCTCAGTCGTTAACTCCCGTTCAATTTTAGTCCTTCAACCATGTTAGGGACTTAAACAAAAAGGGATTAACGGAAATTAATAGAAGAGTGACTTAAACAGGACAAAACGATAATATGAATGACCATTTACCCTTAATTTTTAAATTGATGACCAATTTTTGTTAGACTCTAAACAAAAGAAACTATTTGTATAGTTTACCCTGTTTTTTACAAAAGCAAGACCAAATTTTATACATCACTCCTTAAGATAATAGATGATTGGTTATTTATTAACGTATCTATTTATATTAGATACAATGAGATGCTAATAAGATGAACATTGTTTTGTTAAGATAACCTTATTTTCAGTAGGACACTTTTGTTAAGAAATTATTCTTATAAATATTTTGATTGTTATTAACGATGACAATTGATGGATTAATATCGATTCTTACATAGAATATAATTAAATATATTTATTTGTTTGAAAATAACATTCATTTGAAATTTGAAATATTATTTTTTATTATGAACAAGATAAAAGATTTTGTAAGAGAAAAAAAAAAGAGATAGAAGGAAAAGACGAGGTCTCACGTGTGATGATAGTGTGGGTGTAAATAAGTCAAACAAGAGGCGGCTGCTCCACCTGCACGAGATAATACCTCCTCCCATTATTTGCTTCGATTTCTTCTCCCGGTTGGCTATCCTCCATTCCTCAAGTTGTCACAAATTCTTCCCTAAAGTATCTTAATTTTCATAAAATTATTTTATCTTTTCACTACTATAAAAAATATTTCATAAAATTATTTATTATTATTAAAATATCAATGATTAAACTTGAATAATTGAAATTAAAATTTTTATTTTAACCAGATGTATATACATTCTACGAACATAATCTTCTGAACTCAAAACCTCTAAAAAGAACATCAAAATCATTCAACGAATTCTATTATCTAATAATTTAAAATAAAAAATGTTTTTATTTAAATAAAGTAAAAAAATAATTAATATTGCAAAAATGAAAGGATTGAGGGCCTTTTGGAATCAAAATGAATGTAATAACTTCCTTTGCACTTTAGGATGTTTAGCATTTTGTCTTCCTTCCCAAAGGGACAATAATGCACGCACGAATGGGCCCGAAACAGAGGATTATTTAAACTTTTTTAAAATGAAGAGAAATCTGGTCTAACGTCAGGCAGTTTGACCAAGCAGCCTCTGTAATTTGGAAGCATTAGTCGGCTGCTGACAAAACACCGTTTGAATTTCTCTTATCATCAGCCCCAGCCGAGCGGATTCATCCCACCGTTGTTTGCTTTTAGTTTCCTTGTCCCCATTACTGATATCTTCGTTTATATTCTCCATTTCTTTTTTCTATATATATCCGTGTCTCCACGTCTAACATTTCAGTTCTGTTATATCATCAGTTTTATTCAAAAAGCTCTGCAATTTGCACGCAGGCAGGAGTCCATAGTTTTTTCGATTAAGAAACTATCGCTATGGAAGCTTACTCTTCGTCTGCTTCAGCTGCTTCGGGTTTGGAAGAAGGAAGAGGGTTGAAGGCTTCATTCCATGGATCACTTCATTCCGTGCGTAAGCCATTGTCAAAGCCCTGGAAGAAGCCAATTGCACCATTTCCTCCAACACCACCTAAGGTCTACACGGTCGACCCTATAAACTTCCGGGACTTGGTTCAAAAACTAACCGGTTCACCTGAGTTCATGTCCCGAGCGCATAATCCGACGTCGACAACTCAGTTTGAGGTGCCTCATCAGCGTCTCCAAAGAGTGGCTCCTCCCCCTCTTCACATTGCAGCATCGCCGTTGTCCAGGGCTGAAGTTTCTGCACCACTGAATATGTTCTCGGGATTAGATCAAAGCAGCCAGAATTACAGTAATAGTACCATGAATACCTTTACATCAAATTCACTCGGATTGAACTTGTCGCCATCTTCTTATAATTGGTGCGCTTTCCCCATTCTCAGTCCCGGTACACTGGCCAGCTTGGAGCAAAGCACTGTTCCTTAGTTTATATACATGAAGCTAGATAGCATCAACACTTGATTACCTTATTATATATATTTATGCTGATAGTTTAATTCATGCTGAAGCTTAAAGAGACTGCCTGTAAGATTAAAACTACATTGTTTTGTTATTGTGGTTTACATATATGCCGTAGAAGAAGTCTTAATCTCTTGATGGTTATGATGTTTTACCAGGGCCGGTCCAATGAGTTTTAATATCATGTGCGAGATAATAATTTTATGCCCCCATACTTGTACAGTATAATAGACAAAACATAAATAATTTTTTTAAAACAAAAAATATAATAGAAATTATAGTCAAACAATATCAATACTAATACAAACCAAAACCTAAAAACACTATAATCAATCAGCGGTTTTCTCAAAAAATTATGTGAATCTTAACTATATTGAAGCAGATAAAAAAGGCCATGTAAATCACTATAGCTGTATAGCACCTAAAAACAAATGAACGTGCGAACGTAATGACATGCTTGAGAAGATGAACTCAAACATAAGTTATCTACTTATTTCCACATCAAACCAATCATACCTAGATTTAATACATCTAAATATCGAGGCACCAAAAGCCATAAAAAAAATCAACCAATATCAAGTTCCCTCAGCGGGAGTTAGATGCCCCATCTGCTCTGCAAGGTTATTTACATTATTCATATTCCACCAAAATCTTCTCTGATCACCAGGTTTGCTTTCATTCTTTCTAGCATCGGAATCTTTTCTTTCTAACTGGACTTCCTGAGTTTCAGTTGAACCAGGATTTTCAGTCAAAAATTGTTCCCAGAACATATCATTAACGCCAGCTCTTGGAGGTTCAGTAGTTCTTGCAGGTTGTTCCTTTTCTGTAATAGGCTCAGATGTAACAACCGGGGCAGGCTCAGAGTTCATGTCAATCCCGGGGGATTTAGGTTGTGCATCAATATTAAGCCGAATGCAAGATATTTTTGATGGCGTTTCTATACAACTTTTTGATTCATCTAATTCAAGGTTTGAATTACCTTGAACATTAGTTTGACCAAAATCATGGACCACATTCTCCCAAAACACCATAGATGACTCTAATTGTTCAAATGGCTCGATGTTGGACGACAATGCGAAATTTGTATTTTCTCTAGCGATTAGGTAATTGCCTGTCTGACTATCTTCAATCCCGGCTTCATCATATAAGTAAGCAATTCTAGGCAACCTTCTCTTTCTGTCATTAGTCTCCAATTGTGGTGTTAGATTTATGGCAAGCCCTGGTTTCTGCAAGACTTGAGCCACGGAAGACATCATTTTTTGCTGCCGCTGTTCCATATTCAGTAAACGCTCCCTCAAAAGCTGCATTTGCATCTGAAATCCTTGTCGTGTCTGTTCATGCCTCTTTAACTCTAAAGCAAGCGACTCTTTTTCATTCTTGTTCATGCCTCTTGTTCATGCCCCCTCAAACATACTGCCCCTCTCAATCATGCTGCCCTGGGCTAAGGTTCATCTAGCACATGTATTAGGTCGGCCTTGTGTTTTACCTAATCATAAATATAGCTACTTGCTTATATTGGCTTCAAAAACAGTCTCCCAAGAATATAGTTTACCGCATCCTGTCTTTGATGGGGTGATACTTCGTTAATCAGTTTGTTAAACCGAATATTTTGTCAACATTGAAGAATTTTGGGGTTTCTTCGGGCGGGAAATATGGTGCAAAAGTGCAATCCCGCATGCATTTTCACCTTGCAGGCTGCACATGGCTAGGGTTGTGCAAAACTACCCGACCCGCTGACCCGGACCTAAGAAAACCGGGTAATTTTCTAAAATAAATACCCGGTCGTGTACCCGGCCCGATATTTTCTGGGTCGAACCTGGGTCACAAAATCTAGTTTTTTCGGGTACCCGGTTAGTTATTATTATTATTATTATATATATATATATATATGTATGTATATAAAATATAATGGATTATTTATATTATGGATTGTTAGATTTTGTATTTCGAATTTTTAAATTTTATGTTCGGATATTGGAGTATGTAATTCGAAGTTTCAAACATTTAAATTAATAATTTGAAAATGAAAAAAATTAAAACAAGGTACCGAGTACCCGATTACCGGGTATCCATAACATATAGATCGAGATACGGGCCGAGAAATCATCGACTTGGATGGAAAATCCGGGTACCCGGATTTGCACACCCCTACACATGGCAAATATGGTGCAAATTGCAACATTTTTTATTTTTATGTTGAAAATCTATCTAAATATTGTTAATGATATGAAATAAACATATAACTAAACTAATACTTAGTAAATATACTGTTTACAGTGAAAAAAAATATCGAAACATTTATTTTAAAATTTTACTAGAATTAACATAGTAAATTAATTAGACATAGTGTATTCTGTAAATTTTTTAACCTTGTAGTAATATATATATATATATATTAGATAGGTTAAAAAGTTAAAATTCAAAAATCATACAAGCGTATAGTTTTAATCGCATCGGTCATATTTAAGGGTTTTAATCATGTCAAATATTTTTTATGTTAATTTGAAAATTTAAAAGATAAATCAATTGTTATTATTATTTTAACCTTACTTAATAAAACTCACCATCAAGAATATTATATCATGTTTTCAAATTTTATCCAAAATGTCACTAAAAATCTGATTTCGGGATGTAGACTGAACGATTCAGCATGTTTGTTTTACTCTTTTCAGTCACCTTCATTATTAGGAGGAAAATGAAAGAAGTTAAGTTGTTTGATTAATATATACAAAAAAAAGAAAATTCAAGGTTGTTTTGTTCATATTATTTTCTCGGCATTCAGCATAAATTGCCACCTGCCGACATGGAAGGTAGTGAACAGCAGTTGGCATACTAAAGACCAAATCAAACATGGAAGACTTCACTCTTAACTCAGCTGAGCTGTATTCTTCTAAAATGTTATTGCAGTTCTATTTTATTTTAATCAAACTAAATAATGCATATAGTATGTAATCGATTCAGCATGTCATATTGATGTCAAGTTCACTATTCTTCCCTTTGAATTTCTAGCCCTTTTAACAAATTTTGATTAATTTCATCCAAGTTCGATTTTTTTTAATATTATTATAAATCTCAGAGACAATATCTTGTCCATTTTTCGTAAACTACTACGTATCACATGAAATACAAAGCATCAAATAATACTCGAACCTTAATTAATAAGCATGTTTTGCATAAATTTTTAAGCTGTTGAGTAGTACATGATCATAAATTCTTGTATGGAAAAATGTCAATCTATTATTCCAGCAAGCTCAGCTAAAAACAATCTTCTATTTGGCTCACCAAGAGAATTGCTACTGAATGCCACCACCCAAAAAAATAACATCGATTCTTCGTGTTGGTATTCGCTGGTTGGTTCTCAACTGCCCTTGGGCTTGTTTACTTTTGGAAAATCTTTAGCAGCAACAAGTTGAGTTCTTGATTTCTGACCGTTTCTCTTTTCTTGATGTCATGTGTTCAATTATTCTAAACCATGCAGTCAAAAATCAAGGTTCCCTGTTTTGGAGGAACTAGAGCAACTACCTGATGTGCCGTACGAAGTTACACTAGAACCATTGACAGGGGCCTGATTTAGGCATTCTAAAACCAAATACCGATGCTTCTGCAACTTGATTGAGAAGGTTGTTGCCTCAAGAATCACAGAAACCTGGTAACATTTCGGAAAAATAAGGTATAAGATTAATTGTGCAAGATACGAGTGAAAGTGACAGTTTTGTTATATATCTCTTAAAGAATTTGATCAAGCTGGATAAGACTAGGATGAAGATTAATACTAACGAACCTGTGTGTTGATGCGCGCAACTTTGTGCACATTCAGAAAGCCAACCATATCCTGGTAACCAGTGAGGAGTTGTGCCAACTCCTTGTCTTCATCTGAAAGAAGAATTCAAGAGATTAATAAGTCGTACAAACTTGAAAGCAATAAGTGGAAATTGTAAGCTCGAGGTAGACTGACAATAAACCTTGAATTGCTTTGACAGAAAGCAACGTGTCTGCCATGTGCTGCCATCTTTTACCGAAGGATGGTGAAAGAAGGGAAGGAGGAAAGGTTATTATGACGACTGAATTTGAAGGCTGTACCATGCTTTTGAGAGATCTAAAAAATGAAAGCATCTCCCACTCCTGCAATAGTTTATATTATGACCCTTTAAAATGGCATACCATCAAAGGGACATCTAAAACTACGACTTCCACAATTTGAATGGTCCAAAAACATTTTAAATTTATTCACTTATAAGGGAACTTTTCAAAGAAGGAAAAGAAACAGGAATTATAATAGCTAAATAAATCTTCCACCGACCATGTTGGAATACGCACATTGTGGAGCACAAAATGATTGGATAGCGATACAACCAGCACAAGAAATGCTACCACCATTTCTACAAGATTGCCAAAAAAGAGGAATGGCTAACAAGTATACCAAATGGAAAGAAGGAAAAGAAAGGTAATGGCAAGTTAGTCGAGACACTAAAAATAAGATTTTGGAACTTCATACAGGATTCTTCATGCATCTATAAGGGAGATGACATAACAGGTAATAATAAAATCAAACATTGAGAAATATGCCAGCAGGATTAAATATTTCCAACATCATTAATATATGAAACAATGATACCGTGGCAACTGAGATAAAAATGTTGCACAACGATCTTGAAGAGTGGAAAGATCACAAGAATCTTTGATGCTAACACAATCCATGCGCTGACCATTGGTTAAGTGCCTCTCTAGGGGCTTCCGCAAGTCAAATTCATTAGAGTACTCACGTTTGCCATCTGCACCATGTTCACATAAAGAGAGACGATTAGTACTTTCAAAATGAAAATAGCATGAACACTGGTTAGCAGGGCATTTTTCAAACAACTGAAAAGTGATGGGTGTAATGAGGGATAAACTACCTCTTTGGCCATCAAAATTGAGCTGATTTTCGCCAAAATACTTCTTATACTGCCAAGCAATTCTCAGACCTTTCTCCTGCAATTTTTTTTTAATACGACATTCACATTCTGAGAATTTAAACATATGATATTTCATACAAACTGAAGAAACCAAAGAAAACAAGTGTCAAAGATAAAGGGACCTGATCTGGATCAGGTTCCCCGGGATTTGTCATCTTTGGATGTAGCAGGACTGGGCAAAGTACCCAAAAAACCCCTTGGATCTCTGACTAGCATAGAGAAGCAGTTGGCCGTGAACAAGTCCCTGATCTGCATCTACCATCACCATAACTAGGCTTCCCAAAGGGAACCCACCACCCAGTACCTCTGCATAACAAGTAAAAACTATTCAATAAGGGAACACATCACTCAACTCAGTGACAAGAGAATGTTACGCAGTTATGTGTATGCATTACTGTCAAGGTCGGGTATCCCAGAAGATAGAACTACCGTGCCATTAGGCCCACACTTAAGTCCAGGGCCTAGAGATGGGGATGCAGTGGAAAGGTTCCAAGAGAAGCTACTCGTCCGAGTCTTGGCCGTAGCCATAGCAACAGTAAGAAACCAAAACACCACATAATGAAGTGATCTAAGACTGTCCCGGTTCTAATCCAGCAAGATTGTTCAAGAAATACCCTGTTACACACTTAGTCAAAACAAAATCTAAAAAACCAACAACTATTGTCACTTAGAAGATCAGAAGCAGCAATTGAATCATATAAAACTAAAGGCATAATTTTCATGATCACATGATTAAAACAAAAAATATTAAATTTAATTTCAAATTTGAGTTCTTTCCATACCGCCCATCTTTGTCAAAACCAATAAACATGAAAAGGTATTAAGTTTTCTTTAAGAACCCAAAATTTGTTTTTCCATCTCTTTAATTTCAATACTTGTATCAAATAAAAGGTACGAAGTTGTTTTACTAAACTTTACCAAACATGAAAACGGCTCCAAAAGTGTCTTTCTATCTAGGTAGAGAAACAGAGAGGAATCACATTCTCACCCGTGGCTCCAAAAGTGCGAACTCTACGCTTCAGGTTCACTGCCTCTGAAGTTATGGCAACTTCTTCGAAGTCTTCGCGTTCCCGGTCTCATAGTTCCGCCGTTTGCAAAGCAGTTATGTGCGTTTTCGCTCGCTTGTTCATTTTTAAACCCCAAATCTAATTTATGTTTGTTTTTCAGATTTTACACAAAGCGCTTCGCCTCACTGCGTTTTTGGGCTTAGCCTGTTCATTATTTTAGTGGCCTAATATTATGAGTTTTTTCTTCTTTTTATAATTCATTTTAGTTTTTTTTTGTTAGAGAATTCATGGTAATTTTCTAAACTAATATAAAATATATTAAGATGGTACTTTTGTGAATTCATTGAATGACATCAGCAGTAGACGAGAGTAATAATCTCCCCTAAATATCTCGAGTTTAAACAACAGCGTTCCTAAGATATATATGCGTTGTCAAAAATCAAAAAAAGATTTTAAATAAATACTAACTTATAATCATCCCATAAAAAATGTTATATTACTTTCTTGAAATAATAACAAATGTTTTTAATCCTCCTTATTTACACATTCAAATAATTTATCCCATTTTCATTTCCTAAATCAAAACTGAAATACACATATAGCGGTAATGGCAGCACTTTTGCCTTTTTACAATTTTCATTTTTAGTTTCTTTTTCACTTTTCCATCGTTTTGTTTTCAATTTTTTCATTTTGGTTCCAGCTTTTATTCAAGCATTAAACTTTGAAGAAGAAAAAGATTTAGTAGAGACAAACAAACGTTTACTTCTTTTGCAATTCTTTTTGTTCATTTTTATATTCTACTTTTTCAATTTAATTAATCACACCTTTTCTTAGAGAAGTGCTCATTATTACAAACATTTTAGTAGAAGATTCAGTTTACTTGACATCATCCAAATGCTATAGTTTTGGTCAATGTCTAATTCCAACGTTTCAAGCCTTGCCCTACAGCATTGAACTCTACTGCTGATCCTTTCGCAACAAGGCTAATGCTTTAAGTTTGCTTCTACAACCAGAAGCAGCAATGAAGCATTAATGGCTGTCCCCCTACCGCAGATCAACAGTAAACTTTGCTGGATCTAATCAAAACTAGACATCAAGACGACGCAGACAATACAGCTTTCCTTCATAAAAATTGTCAGCTAATTAACATGTAAACCGCAACGCAACATATTTCATATTTTCGGCCGGGTTTTGACATTTGAATAATGAGTAGTTAAAACTAGACGAGCAGCGGAACAGACCAGGCATATGCAAAAATTATAACGTAAGTCATAAGAGGCAACTCCATTGAATTGTGCTAGTTAAGCTCAGAAAAAAGGTTGTTTATCGTTTTCATCTCATAATAGCAAAAGTAGTGTCGCAACCGTCTTTCGATTAGGCCTCGGAATTGGGCTTCGACTTGAAAAATATGGATTGGAGTCGCCACCGATCATTTATTTAAAGATAAATGGGTTGATCGGATACCCTATTTCTTACCTGATCTGCGTCTTACCAGAAATATGTCGGGCTCGGGAGTCGATTACGGTCAAAGAAGGATTAGCACCCTTGAACCGCCCTTTCGGTACTACGTAATTTCCAGTTGTCTTAATTAAGAAAAATAACAAGTTAAATTAAAAGATAAAATAATGATCCAAAATTACTTACCTTTGACGGATTTACAAATATACCCTTTAAAAGTCAAAATATGGGTTAGAAGAGATGAATAAATGATAAATAAAGTAAAACAAATAAAATAAACAGATTAAGTAAGAAATAAAGTAAATATAAAATGAATAGAATATATAAAATAAAAAACAATAACACTAATATATGCACAGCAAACAACTAAATAAAAATAAAATGATAATGCAAATAAATAAATAAAACAAGTAAAAGAATATAAAAACATAAAATATAAGATAAATATAAAAATAGATAAATAAATGAGTAAAATATATAAAAAAGTAAAAGCATATATATATAAGTAAAATAATAATAATAAAAAAAAGAAAATCAAAAGTAATATACGTATATATACATGCAAAATAGGAAATATATAAATATATATATATAATAACACTAATAAAAAATATATACATATATAATAAAATTAATAGAAAGTAATATGCATATATAACAAGAATAATAAAGTAGGAAAAAAATGATTAGGGGGAGAATTAAATATTTAAAAAATGAACACGCCTCGGGGTAGATCTAGGTTCGAAACTTCGAAACCCTACCCATTTTGGTCATCGGCGCAACCCACGTTTTGGGTTATTCGAACCAAATCTCAAGAAAAATAACGTGCACATGCGAGAAATGAACGAACCAATGTAAAAAAAGATGCTACCTTTTATTTCCTTTTCGAATCGTTTACAACAACTTTGCCTTTGTATTTTCCGTGCTTTCCTCTGTGTTTTGTGTGTAAATCGTCTGTCAATCGTGTGTTACAATATTGAGCTATAATGGCTATTTATAGTGCTTGTGGATCCTATCTTTAGGAGTTTAAAACATAGCAAAATTCTATCCTATTTTAAGAGTTGAATCCTAGCAGAATTCTATCCTATTTTTTAAAGTTTAAATCCTAGTAGGACGAAAAAGGTGTGTTGACAAATAGTATAAAGAAGGAACCCTTCATAGAACATTGAACAAAATACTTCGATGCATACCAGCTTTTCCTCCATTGATATCTGGCTCGAATAGCATCAAGAAGAGTCGACACATGTTTGAATACAGATTCAGCATCTTCAAAAGGTAAATGGATGAGAAACTTCCTTTTCCTCTCAATGATCAGATTAGACAAATTTTAATAAAGACATTCAGCTAAGTTGAGTTGGTCTCCTCCTCTTTCGCAGCAGCCTCTTCTTGCAGCTTCTTTTTCCAGTAATCATCAAGAGGAGGTCCAAATATCGCCTTCCCAGAAACAACTCCAATTTTGCAAAATCCAAATAGTCAATTACCCCAACAATGACAACAATTTACACATAAAATCGCATTAACCTTCTGTAAGCCTCTAAGCCTATCAGATAAACCAACAATAAGGGTAAATGCAACTACCAAAAACTTGAGTAACTTTGTCAATTTGAGAACTTGTCTAGTACCATTTGAGATTCATAAAACTCAGATTAAAACCGACACAAAGATGTCATACAGAAGCAAGAATAATCTATCCAAACAATGCATTTAACGAGATTCTGATATTCTCAAGGATAATGTTGCATAAATCGTTTGTAAGTGATGTTTATAAACAGTAATCTACCAGGAAGAGTTCATGTTTAGGCGACATTGTATTGAAACTTCTCACTTTTTGTAACTATAGACATTTCTACCACTTCATGTTTAATGAATTTTCCCCAACAGCTAAAATTTCAAACTTCATCCCTCAAATCAAATAAAACAAGAGAAATCACATCAAATGGGTTTTATTGGATTAAATTTGATATGGGAATACCTCGATTATTACGTAAATCAAATAATTGACTTCTTTAAGAAATAATTTCTTTGTTGGGGGGGGGGGGATCAGGTAAGACTCAAAGCTGGGTAACAAGCAAGCAAATATGGAAAAACCAACTGATATAAAAGAAAAAAAAAATAAAATAAGGCGAGAAAGCAAGATAATGGAACTTACATGATTGCTCCGATGACCATTGGGAAATTGAGAAACTTGCTTCTTCTAAACTTATCTCCCCACCTCTCTTTAATTTAAGAGCTTCTCCCTTCTTTCTTACGAACGTTTTACTCTGTATCTCCCTTTAAAACGAAATGGGGGAATCGAGCTCTGTAAAGTATTTCAGCTACAGAACTTGATGTTGAAGTCTTTTCCCTAAATTTCATCCATGGTTTTGGAGGATTTCAATCTGTCTTTCTGAATAACTTTCTTTCATGGAAGAAGACCCAGAATTTGAGCCCTCTCGGTTTAAGCAACCGAATCTAACTCCATGTCAACTGGGTTGGCTACATTGCAATATTGGATTTGAGAGATAAAACAAACACGTTAAAAAATAATTAAACATTATTTCGATAGAAAAAATATAACTTTCTTTTCTTTTCTTTTCTTTTCTTTTCTTTTGATAAGTCATGTAATTCTATTATCCAAGAAAATAGCAAATACAACAACAAAATTAAGGAATCTCTCTATCAATACACAATCTCCTATTCATTGTATCGTTCTTGTTTATACAAGTGTTATACTATAAACAATAACATCAACTGATCGAGCAACCCCTCGAACTGCCTGCAATTACCTAAAAAGCTAACTCAAACAAGTTTAAGGGTACAAACAATGAGTGAATTTCCCCTTAAATTCTCTTAAGCCCACAACAGATCATCTTCCCGGCTTATGGTCGTATACTGCAGCCTGCAAATCTGCATAATTCTACCTCAAATGTTGCGAGAATAAGAGCAACCCGAAAATAAGTTGTCCCTTGACTCCCTATCACCATCACAAAGATCACAAAACTCGTCCAAAATTATCCTAAACCGTCCAAATCTATCTTTAGTAGGTAGCCTATTCAAAATATCATCCAAGCAATGATATCACAAGAATTATTAATATATAAATTAAGTATTAATTTTATTTATATCATTCTCATTATAATAATTTATTGGATTTACTTAAATATATAGGTTTTATGATTTCATTCTTAATTTAGGAATTATTTTAAAAAATATTAATACATAAATATTTTTATGGTAAAATTGTTTTTATTTGATCTACTAATTAATTATTTCAGATCAATGTTTTAGAATCATTCAAATCTAATTTACTCTATTCACGATATAAAAATTCGAATTCTTGACCTTAATTATAGAATCTATCCGGGACGAAGTCAGGATTGAATATTAGAAGTGGCTGAAATATTTGACTTGTTAAGAAAAATATAATGATTTATTAGGTATTTAAACTCAAAATTCATAATACAATGCTTAATTCATATAATATTTAAATTTACAATTACCTAAATTATTATTAGACCAAAAATTTGAGAACATTGGGTATCATTCTTTAGCTAGGACCTTACTTGATTAAGATTTAATAAATTCTTATATTTTTAGTTTAAATACTTATTTTTACATGAACCAAAATACTATTAACAAAAATTTATATAATATAAAAAAAATTCACAGAGATCGAGGCCCTTTTAAGCCTCAACAAAACCCTATCTCTATAGCCTATTGTCTTATCCTATTAAATCAACTAATAATTAATATTATATATATATATATATATATATATATATATATATATGTGTAAATACAATCACAAAATGTTTTAAAACGGTTATAACTACCAATATAACTACAATTTACTTTCATGGATAACATGACAAAATTTGACATTTTTTTCAATTTGATAATTGGATTTTTTTTATTTACATTAATCTCAAAATTTTAAAACTATTTCTAAAATGAACATTAAATTTATATTTTTACTTTTAATGGCGAAGCATTATGATATGGTGTCATTACTTGAAAATTTTAAAATATATATTTAGTTTTTTTATTGAATATATTAAGTCATCAAAAGAATTAAAATTTTAAATTTAAGGATGAAATTAAAAATATATTAAATTTCAAAATTAATATGAAAAAAAATCAAAGGCCAAATATTTTTAAAAAATAAGTTAAGATTTTTTATTAATATGGATGATTACAATGTAGTATATGTTCAAATGACTCTTAATCGTTTGATAATGAATACTCAAAACACCACTAGCTCGAACTCAAAACCTCTAAATATAACAATTATTTCTTTAACCACTAAAATTATTTGATTCATGCATAGTTTTAGAAGTTGAATATTAAATTTTATATCTTCATGAATAAATCCCAATTTTCCTTTCTTCCATGTGAATTTTAAATAGAGTATGACTATTGACTTGGTCTAAAAGTAAAAGAGTCTTTAAGACATTTGGTCAATATATAGTTGGTAGGTAAATAGCCTATTCACATTAGCATTGACCCACCAATCCAATCTTAAGGTAATTAACATCAAAATTAAATCATGTTTATCATGCCTTAATTACTTCACCAAATGATGAAATGATTATTATGATTAGTTTAAGTATCCTTTTAATCCTCGAGAAATAAAACTGCAACTGTCATCTTCTTCAACCGTATAAGCCTGCATTTAAATGCTCTTAAGTTGTCTGTCCTTTCAGGTTGGAATACTGCATGATTCTTTTGTAAAAGAAAACACTTTATACTAACTTAAAGGATGAAAGTGATTAAGAATTTATCCTTTAAATAAGAAGCTCACATCAACTCATGCTTTCAGTCAAATGTTTTATTTACTCCTGAGGGAAACAAATTATAGATAGCTTCAACAAATTAATAGAAATCCTTCTGAAATTGTACAAAATATTAAAGTTGTTGTAGAGACAAGGCTTACGGGAAAGAAAAGCATTAATGGAAATGATAATGGTAACTCTTTACTTTGTATAGATTGGGGGACGACTGAATGATTGAATGGTTGAGATTTTGCTTGGATTGCTGTCTTTCTGTATATCTGTTGACTGTAGCAGTTTTTTTGGTTAATGGAATTCAACATTTATCCAAAATAAATTAATGTTCTTTTATATTTTAAATCCATTTATATTATATTTACGTTTTACATACATAACATTCTTGAAAAATCAAACACTTCTGCTCGAGGTTGAAGGAAATTAATCCAAGCAGCGTGGGAAATGGTTTACCCTCCGCTTGGTTTAGAAATTCGAAGGTTTAAATTTTATCCGATATAAAAGAAAGAAAAAGTATTAATAAAACAATAAAAAGTTATTTAATTATCCTATTCACTGATGAAAAGAAGAAGCTATTCCACAAACAAGACTATATAATTACCGTATATAAAATAATAATCTTTATTTTGTTTACATATTTAAATATATTTATGCAATACTGTTTTTATATCCGATAGTCACTTAAAACAGTGGAAAATGATGAGTGCATATGTTTCCAATCATGATTTTGCATATTTTCCAACATAGAAGAATAGTGAAACATTCACTAACCAATAAAATAATGTACACCAAAATCATTAAAGAGAAAGTGATCAAACGTAGGACTATAAAAGGTGAATGTTTAAAATATATAGCAAAATCATGAAATAGGAACTCAAAACGTGTACTCCCAAAACCAAACCAGAAGATGGAAGAAATATATAGTCATGAAGAAACGGAATCAAATATATAACTATATCATATATAATTAACGAGCACAATAATTCCATAGTTTAAAACTTAAGAGAAAAATCATGGCTTGTGCTTCTGAGTATAGATGTAATCGACATGAGCGGCAAGAGTTCTTCTCATCAAACACTCTTCTTCTCCAACTCCATCACAGCTATCTTCAACAGCGTCACTCGACTGCTCAGTTTCAACAGCAAGACCCTATCAAAATTCAAAACCCAAAACCATTAAATACAGGTTACAAGGGAGCATGAAGGAGCAAAAATCAGCCAAATTTAACTAACCTCGGCTTGGGACTGGTTAGGCAAAGCAGGGCCAAAGCGAGCGGCAAAGGATACAGTGGAAACCAGGAGAAGGGTTAAGATGAAAAAGGTGGCTACTTTAGCCATGTATATCTTTGCTTTACTAGCTAGAGGAGAATAAAGGGAAAACTGAAGAGGATTAAGGATTTATGAAGATAAAGAGATGATAGGGATGAAGAGAGTGGTGGTGATTGTGGCAAATATATAGAGAAATGAAAGGCTAAAACACAGCGTGTGAACTTAAGAGGTGGAAAGGGAAGACTTGTAAATTCTGATAAATATTGCAGATGAATACATGGATAGAATTATAAAACAGAAAAGAATGTTATTAAGTGGAACAGTCTCTTTGTAAAATAGATTATTGAAATTGTAAATACTTTTTTAATCCTAAATACAAATATATGATTATAAGCCTTGACGGACATATGTATGTCTAATAGTTGTACATTTTATTGACTGAATTCATCTTAAAATTTTATTTGTGTACATCCGGTACGAGAAAATTCAATGATTAATACATTGTGTCTACCCTAAAAATATTTCTAGGTATGTTATTCGTTATAAGTATGCATGTGATTTCTAATAAAAGTTAGATACTATTTAATAGAGTTCAATAAAAAATATTAAGTTAATATAAAAAAAATCACCCACTTTGGCAATTATATACTATTAATAACTATCCTGCTCCTCTCTTCTTCTCTCGAGTAATTTTATTTTTAGATTTTATTCAAAATTAAAAAACTTTCTCTTAAAACATGATTATTTTTTGTAAACATTAGTATTAAAAATATCTTCACGACACCAATTCTAGTTAATATTTAAATGATACAAAATTAAATAGATATTCAAATAGTAACATAAAAAGAATCAGAATGTTTTATTTTTTGGCATCTTCTATAAAATAATTCATGTTTGAAGTTTATTATTGTTTCTTTTTAATAACATTATCTTTAAATTTTGAACTTATTTTTAAAAATATTTTATAATTATGTTCAATGAGTAGAGTTAGAGATGACAAAAAATTGTACTCGAAGACTTTTAATCTGATATAATAGGATTGAGTTTTTTATGAAAATAAAATTTTAGATCAAGTCATGGTTTTTCTTAAGTTTGATCGGGCTGGATAAGATTTACACTTAGGGAGAATTTATTCTTATTTAGGATAATTATGTAAATAAATTTTTATGTATTTATATATTATCAGTTAGATTTCGGTGTATATATATATATATATATAACATATAAATTTAGAATTATAAAAATTAAAATAAAAAATTATATATATTAAATGAGATTGAATTTAATCAGAATTAAAATTTTAATTATATATTTTTAAACATAAATTCAATTAAATTAAAATTTAATATTATACTATCGAATCAGACTAAAATTTAATATTTTTATGTATTTTTATCATATTTTATGTCTTTTTTAATTTAAATATTAGTTAAAAAAAGATTTTGTTGCTTTCAATTTTTTAGATTTAAATATTTAATAGATCTTTATTTTTTTGATATAAAACAATTTTATCGCCTCAACATTTTATTCGAACTCCGTCTCTGCCTTTTAAGCTTGAACCATAAATTATTCTTTCAGTAATTTTTTGAATCGAATATCCTTATAAATTTATAAGTTGGGTTAATTTATCAAAATCAATTTGACATGCATCCACAATTTAGACGACCCTCAGCTTAAAACAACCTTAGTTCCTCCGACATGTTACGGATTAGCTTTGATTTTACTAATGAATCTATGTCATAGCATGTAAAAATAACGGTTTAACGAAAAATTAACCAATAATTTGATTGACTTTGATATAATTCACTCTTTTGAAATTGATGTTTATTGTTGAGTAGTTTATTACAAGAATTTCCATACTCATTAATTTTCTCGATATGTGAGTTTGTTTAAACTAAAAATATTATGGAAAACTAGTCAAAGACGTAAGATAAATAAATTGATTTTGATATTTCAACCCATTTTAATTGATCTTAGATCCATGAGCGTTGCATAAATGAAGCTTTAGCAAACCTTAATGTCCTTATCCCACGCCTTAGCAATTTTGTCATGATAGATTTTTCAAAGATACATACAAATATAGTTCCAATTTCTTTTTATTAACGCCCGTGATGCTTTCCTTCTCGATCATCCATTTCAGGGAGATATGTTAGACTAATTAACCAAGACACAATAAGAAAATATTAATTTGGAGGAACGCAAGTGAACTGGTATATAATGAAAACGATATTAATATATTGAAAGTGAGATTTATTTTTATTATAATTCTATATAATTTTTTATTTAGATTAGTTAAAAATATAAAAAAAAATGAATCGAAAAATATAACAAATAGCGAAGTCTGAATGCAGCCGTAAAGTAATATATGTGAGAATGTAATCACGTGATGTTATGCGGATGATGATTGTAGCGTAACCAAAATCTGATTGTTGAATTATTTAGTCAAAAAATTCGCATAAAAGGCATTTGGGTTAGTTACCTTTCGGTAGCTAAAGGCAAGGTCTACGACTTAAACAAAGTAATTATTCTCCTTAATCACATGATCAAAATCCAATTATATTCTCTGACCTTTTATATCTCAAACAAAGTCAATTCTTCGAGAGATGCCAATATTTGTTTTTCAAAAGAAGAGAAAATCTTTGGAGATTTGTTATTTCATTACAATTTGTTTGCGATGAGAATTGGCATCACGTACATACAGCGTTTTAATTCAAATTTAAGCTTTTGTCGAGGTTCCTTTGGATTTCATAACACTTATGATGAAATGGGATTTCAAAAAGGATATTAGGTTACTTTTAAAAAAAATAATACACAAAGGTAGAGAAGATCTAAGCTAGTTTACTATGCTTCCTTTTGAATCATTCATCAGCAGGTTTCCTATATATCTCCACTGGAGGGTCCTCAAAGTTGTGGAGTCCCATGCTATAAATATTATGTTTTTTTAATAATCTTATAATAATATTAAGTATCAATTTAAAAAAATTAATCACTTTTTTTATTAAATTAGTATCGAATTAATTTATGATATAATTATTCAACAGATTCTAAAATGTGATGATCCAATCTCAATTTCATGTCTATGCTCTCGATAAGACTGCTGACAACGTCGACTGGGCTCCACGTCGTGAAGAAAAAGGAAAATGTCCAATCAAAGCCAGCAAGGTAGTCGATATCTTATTAGTACAACAAAATTTGATGAGTAATTATATATATGGGCTTTCACTGTGAGAATCCCTTCCAAACCCCATAGACTTTGCTGTCAAAGCATGCATGTTTTTTCCCCTTGTAACTTTGCCAATTCTCTGCTTGTATTTCCCATCATACATACCTCATTTCTTATCTCACCATTTCGGCACCGTGGGCTCCATCAAGAGAAGAAATTATGAACAAAAGTTAAATAATCAATCAATTATAAAATCCATGCAGAGATATTTGTTTCTTTTCTGTCAAAGCAAAATGTTGACTAGTATGAAAACACAAGCAGGCATGGCTGCAAATGCACTACACTTTACTCTTTCTATAGTATAATGTAATACCATTTGTCATTCTTTGAATGATACTGTGATAATCTACGCTTTCATTTGGAATAATTCTCACCATCTCAATACTTCGTCTCGTTAACCCTAAGTGTCTATCTACAATTCAATTGATTCATTACACTGAAAACGATCTCGCAAAGTCAAGATTTTATGGACGATGAAGTGCAACGTCGAGAAAACAAACAAACAAAAAATGGTTTATCCATTGATGCAGTTGTGTCTGTGTAATATGAAATTATCGGTGGCAACAATTTTTATTCGTGTCTATCAATTAAGGCATTAGCCTTAGCCGTAGGGCAACTGCAACCCGAAACCTAAAAACAGCATGCATATCTTCCACATGATAATAATAATGTCCATTTACAGAATTCTCCATGATTGAGGTTCTGATTTGAGACTTTTTTTTGGGGGGGTATAAAATGACTCAAAAGTTCAAAAGGAAGAAACTAATGTACTTGCAGTATGAACATAAAACCTCAAATGTTTATGCAATAATTAAAGATGTTAAGGAATGAAACAAAATAAAGTAGGGTTAATTTTTGAGAAAATAACTTCAATGACTGAAAATGCATTATAATATACGATTTTAATAAACTTTTTTTGGATTTGCGAAAATGTCCAACAAATTCGTAACGCGAACTCCAATTTCGCAACTCAGTTTCCAAATTCGCAACGCAAAAGTCAAATTCGCAACACATAAGTCAAATTCGCAAATCGCTTTTATTTTCGCAACGCAAATTTTATTTTTGAATTCGAAACACAATATTGATTTCACAACACAAATGTAAACAATATAATCGCAAATCATAACCTAAAACCCTAAATCACAACTCAGTCTCATCTCCATCTCTCGCTCTCTATGGCGACATCCGTCCCCATCTCTGACGAAATCCATCCCCATCTCCGGCGAAATCCGTCTATCTCCATCTCTCAGAGCCACCCTCACAACCATTCACGGTCAGAAATGGAAAATCAACCACCGAGGGTTAGTTTTTTTAATTATTTTTATTTTGAAAATTTTGTATTATTATTAGATTTTTCATATTTAAATTGATGATAAATTTACTGGTAATTTCAGTAATAGATTAACCATTTCACTTAGATTGCTTAGTAAATTCATTTGGTTGCTACCAATACTGTTAAACTGTTTAGTCTTTAACCCTGTGAAGTTAGTATTTGTCTTTGTTTTGTCTTTTGGTTGAAGTACAAGTTTCAATTTGCAAAAGACTATTTGAAACTTAAATTCGCAACACGAAAATGAAAATCGCAACGCTATTTTAGTTTTGTGTTGCGATTTTCATTTCATGTTGCAATTTTCATTTTCGCGTTGCGATTTTAAGTTTCATAAACTATTCTTATTCTGCAAATTGAAACTTGAATGAATTGCATTACTCCAACCAAAAAATAAAGACAAACACTAACTTTACAGTGTTGCGAATTTAAGTTTCAAGAATAAACTAATACTTTTTATGTTGTCCTTGAACCTGCACTAAATCTATATGTTGTCCTTTTAAATGTTTATATAAGTGTTTACTTATGAAATGTTATCTGATGCATTCTGTGAACTATGATAGAATAATGACTTGGGTGAATACCATGCAAGTTTGAAACATATTTGGATTTGTTTTCACTGTTTAATATCATGTTTGTTTATAGTGTATAATTTGTAGTTTTTGGTATATCTAACTTGGTATGTTTATTGTTTTTGTAGAAAAAATTTTCGGCTTCATTGACCTTAAGGAATAAATTAAGCCTAGCCACTACAATTGCGTCAACGCTTACACCTGTACAAAGAAAATTGTTTGAGGATACTTGCTTCGGGCCATGGCTGAAAGTACAACATCCGGGTGGAGATGCTATTTTGACCCATTTGTTTCTTCAGACCATGATTATCGATCTACTCGAGAGGATACAACGTGGTGATGAAGAGATATGATTTCATTTTCCTCCGGCATATACTTGTTTTGGGCGGGAGGAATTTTGCTTAATCACTGGTCTACGCTTCGGACACGATAATGTAGGTCGGTACACTAGTTATATCGCCTGCCCATCATGATTATCTCGGATTATCCACAGCCTATCTCATCTGAATAAAAATATACATACAATATAATCAAACCAAAACATACATACACAATAAATTTATATATAACAATGATCAAATAATATACCTACAACAACGAAATTAATCCGATAAAAATAAGTTATTTCTAACGAAATTCGAAACATTATTTTTCAAATACGCGACTTTAGAGGCAGAATGTAGAAGTTGAATTGAGATGCATTGGTCATACATACCCTACCATGAGTGGATGTTTTCGACCACAAGTTCCTGACATGTATAGCCGCTATGGGGTTCTGTCCATCACTCATATCAATCGAAACCAAAGCAGTGATAAGACTATTATTTGGGCCTTAGTCAAACGCCATTTCAGTTCACTAAATTCATTTGTTTTTGTGTACCTTGCAGACTAAGTACGCTATGTTGGAAAATGAAAGAAAGTGAAAGTTGAAATTGAGAAAGAAACCAATCATAAAACTATTTATGATTTTTGTTATAACGTGCTCTGTTATACTAAGGATGGAGTCAAAAAATCGTCATAATTAATAAAAATTATTTTTAATGTTATTTTTTTTATTTGACTTTTTTTAACGGTGACGAGGCTATTAGTTTCTGTTTTGTTCATTATTTTTTTTAAAAAAAAATTATATCTAATGTTACATTTTTATTTTGTTTTGGTCACACGTCGTTAAAAAATTAACACTGATACTGAAATAATATTTTTAAATTATCTTTTAATGTTGATGTGGTATTATCTTATTGTGACATGTCAACATCATTATTACTTTTTTAACGATAGGTGACAAAAATGTAACGTTAGATATGATTTTGAAAAAATAATAGTTGTGTGACTAAAAAATAAACTAAGTAATACGTGGTGACCAAATAAGTAGTTTACTTTAAAAAATATATTTATTATAAACATTATTAAAATTAAATAATTACATCTGAAAAATTAGAATCAATTGGATTAGAAACCTCAAACTGGGAACGTAGCCATATGATTTTGGAATAGGTGAACCCAACCCAAGAAGCGGCCCACATTAACAGAGTGGGCTAGCAGTATCGGATGGATAAAAGAGCTGATCGACATAGATTTAATAAATATCAATATAAATAATCAATACGAAATAAAAATTAATTAAAATAAAAAATGAAACTGATATAGATATAAATGTATGAGTTTCTTAAATTTTATATAAAAGAATAATATGATAAAGACACTTAGAAAAATTAACGAACAAAACAAAAACGATAAGAATAGATGAATAAATAAATACAATTATCTTTGTGTCATTCATCATCCATTACATAAGCAACATCACTAATTAGAGCGACGTGACTTTATATGCATAATTTAGTAACCAATTAACCAATCGCATTATCTCGTAATCTTATTTTAAGATTTTTTTTATTAAGTTAAGGTGAATACAAAGTAGTATCAGTTCTAAATATTCTCAACTATTTGATAATAAATGCTTAATAACCCTTGCAGTCGCTTGTGCTCGAACTCGTGCCCTCTATTCTTTTAACCTTCTGAGATAATTTGGTTAGTGCAATCTTATTTTAACATTAAGTTTAAGAAAACTCAATTATTATCATTTAAATAATCTAATATATAACAGTGTCCTCTTCGTTGTTGTTGTTGGTAAAAATGATTTTGGTACAATAATTTTGAAAATATAAGATAGTCACATTACGTGAAAACTTTCCACCTAAAAATATTTTAATTAGTAACACAGTTATGGTTTACATAAATCATATATGATCACTTCAATTAGTATTTCTTGCACAATTAAAATATAATACTTACCTAAATAAAATAATAAAATTCAGGGTCTTTTTTTTAAATGGGGATATTTTTGATGATATCGAAGTTGTTAATTAGCCCCAAGTGATGATTAATTATGATAATCTTGTGAAAAAAGGTATGCAGTAGAGAATTTTTTTTTGTTCTTTATTATTCCGTTAAATGGTTTCCTGCTAATATTCCACCATGTATCCTTTTTAAGCATGGCTACAACGCATTATTTGTATTGGAATTTCCAAATTAAAAAAAATTGAAATGGATGCTATCACACAAGTAGAAACTGGTGTTATCGCAGAGGGGATCCAGTGATGAAGCCAGGGATTCAGATCCCTAGGAGCCATGGCTCGTGTGTTCCTGCATCATGCAGAAAAATGGATGGTTCAGTGGCCGCATGTCACATGAATGGGGTTTCTTCATCTCTCTACAGCGATGCCTCTGCATTCAGATATATACCAAAGATGATATTGCTCATAATTTCCAATTACTTGCCCCCTGAATCTGGTTTCCCATTTTCAAAAAGCTTAATTAATCTCTACAAGATAAGAGCAAAGCAAGAAGAACTTCGTGGAAAACCAGATGTAAAACATAACCTTATGATTGGCTTACTTGTGAATGTTTAATTAACATGTTATCTCCAATATTTGGATTGGATGGTCAAGTTTTGCAAGTTGAAAATTTCACGAAGATGAAGATCGAGGGTTTGAGGAGTGATTTCATAAATCCCAATGGTCAAAGTGTTCGATATGCCAAGTAGTCATGATTGATCTAACAATTGAATTTTACGTGAAACATCCACCGAATTCATGTTCAAGAGATTAGAAATACATGATTTATAAACTTTAGAGCTTAATGGTCATCATCAACAACCACCAGCGGTGGCTAGAGATGATTTCTGACAGAATCTAGACGTAGGGAAGAGAGAGTAAAGAGATAAATATATGAATGATCAAATTGATAGGATTTTAAAAATTAAGGGTTAAACTTATTAAATTATTTTGAATTAGTACTAAATTGACAGTGTATAAATTTCGTAGACTAAAACTATTATTGTATCAGATATGCCACTATATCTGTTAAATTTTAACATAAATTTAATATTTTAATTACCAAAATAAAATAAAAATGTAACGTTAGTGATGATCTTACTAGAAAAATGATATTGAAGATATAAAAACAATAATAATTTAATAAAGAATATTCTAATTATTCAAAACCCAATCAACCTTAAGTTTATTAGATCATTTTTCATTAAACAAATCTTTATTAGCTCAGTTGGTAGAGCGCAAGGCTCTTAACCTTGTGGTCGTGGGATTGAGTCTCACGGTGGGCAATTCATAATTCTAACTGCCGGAGGTCTCCCACGGAAGTTGCTCTCAACCTGGCGTTGGGGGCAGTCTACTATCCTACCTCCCCTTTACCCAATTATATATGGGATTAAGGTCAGATAATTTTATTTGTGTAACATCCTAATTCGATCCAATCCGAGATTCAAAGGATTAAAGTATTACACAAAATCATCAAAATGACTAATTGTTTTGACAATTCATCATTCATAATATTCAAGTAAAACCCGTAGTTTAAAACAATAATAAGGTTTACAAGATGGGGAGCTTCCAATAATACATCCCAAAATACATCGAGTTTACCAAAAAGAGAGTTACGACTAAAATATACATAAGGTCTATGAATAATACATGCCCACTAAATACTCAAGATATAGTTTGATAGCTCGATCGAATCTGGAATCCATAATTTGATTATGAGCTCCTCGAACTGTCACCTAAGGACCTGCGAACTGAAACACATTCTGAATGTTGAGCTCACAAGGTCAGTGTCACACAATTAACTCTACTATATGCGTTCATCATATGAGCATATTAACAGATATAATCATGAACAATAAAATGCAACACGCATACAACATCACGTAACTCACATCCTTCTTTGTTGTCAGAAGGTTATTTTAGATAAGACCTGAGTCACATCACGTTAATATCTTACCTCAAAATAACACTCATTGTTAAGTATATATTATGAGATATGGGTCACAAAGCATCATCATCTTACTTGACTAGTCTACTTTTCTCGAGTACACGAAACGTGTATGGGTCACGAAGCATCATAACTACATCCAACTAATATTTAAAGTGTCATTGCATTGAATTAGATATATTCAAGTATTCTTCAAGCAACTAGACGATCGTCACACAGACAAGTAACTCGGGTGTCTTCATCGTTTCTTAAGTGTCAAACAAAAACATAAATCTTATGAAATCTTATCTCATAATATTCTTATGTTAGCACACAATTTATAATATTATTATCTCATAATATTTTTATGTTTACACATTACATTTATAGTTATAAAATCATGTTTAAATAAAAATCTTTTAACTAAAAATAAAGATTACACTGTTAAGGTATTTCCAATAAAATTTCAACTCAAAATCTAAATATGAATAATTAAAGCTTTAATTATTTAGATATCAATACTTTCTCAATCCTACTAATATTTTTGTAAAAATATTTAAATTCAAAATTTTTATAAATGAAATTTAATTTATTTCAACAATTAAATTTATAAAAATGTAAATGATGATTAAATAAATAATAAAAAAAAACTAGAAGAGACTTGAGCCATGATCCACCTCTTTTCAGTTTTATCCCTACTTGTGGTTGTGGGTGACATAGGCTATTTTGTAATATCGTCATCATAATTAATAGTAGTAACCTTGTCCGGGATTTTTTGTTTGGGTCGTAGTTTTCTTAAAAGTGAAAAAGTAAAGTAAAACGTCATATCGATGTCGATATCCAGTTTTAACACTACTTGTGTTCTCAATCAAATTTCCAATTAATCAAAGGCCGGTTTAGCCATCCCCACTTCCACTCTCCAAAGCGACTCATCCATACGCGTGGATCCACATCATCCATTTAAAACTATTGGATGCACACTCTCCCCTATAGTAATCCGGCACGTGCCTGCATGACCCCACACTACTTTATTCCTTAGTGACTAAGCAAAAATAAAGAAAATAATAATATTTTTAAGGGGGGCATATGTCACCCCTATTTTTTTCTTCCTCCAAAAAGTGTTGCCGAGGCCCCCAGATAGTGCCACCTGACTCGAAAGCTTTTAATCCGGGCTGGGCTTATAACGTTAGTTTAATTTGGTTTAATTATAAGGATCCCTCCACTATACCAACATTTTTGATTGAATCTCTATACTATAAAAACATATTCAAAGGTCATCCCGCTTATCAAAAATTATTTCTTATTTTTTAGATGAAACATTAACGTGGCAGATAATAATTTTTAGTATATGTATTTATTTTAATTTTATAAATTAACAATCAACATGTGAATATCATATCAATTTAATTGTTTTTACTATATTACAGTTTCTATTTTTTTCTTCTTCAGCATTTAATCTTCACACTATGGTTTGCGGTCACTATTTAAATTATTGTCTTTTCAATTGTTGAATCCCAAAGTATTATCAACCTATTAGTCATCGGCTTCTTGTGATTAGGATCGGAAAACGAAGTCAAATCAAGATTTACTATCTTAAGAACAGCATTCTTGTCAATAAGAAGATTTGACCTTTTAATATCACAATGTAATACGTAATGGTTTACGTATCTATATTAATGGAAATCAAGATTATATTCAAAGTCCAAAACCAACTAAAGCAATGGCTAAATAAAATAGTATACTAAAGTAAAACTTAAGTATATTTCGTTACACTAATGTTTAAGTTTTTTTGTTGCTGTTAAGCGATGGCTTAATTTTATTTTGATTCTATAAATAGTTTTTTTAGAAGGGTAAAAGTACAACATGCTAATTTAATATTTTATATAGACAACAAATCTTCATCACACAAGCACAAATTAAGTATAAAATTTACATGCAAAACATATAGGTAAAACTTAAACTAAAATATTTTTTTAACATGTTAATATGATGGTAGATTAATATTTATATTTATTTTTTTGAATTTAAATAAATATACATACACCTGTAAACAAAATTGTTTGAACATGGGTTAATTAAAAAGAATATTATTATTCTTACAATTGGAACTACATCTTAGATTCATGTAGAAAATATTTTAACAAAACTTTTATTATCCAGAGCTCTAAACCTGAATCTTATTATTTGAGTTAAGTCTCTTAATCGCATAATTAAAAAATCTTAAATGCTCCACTTGTTATATATTTTTACTACATCTAAGGTTATTTAAAAAAATACATCCTTAGGACATTTTGAACCTCGCTTTCTGGAAAATCAATTAAGAGATCATAAATAGTTTTCCATTTATTATTTATAACAGGTATGATCATTTTACCAAAAAAATGATTGAATTGTATTTTCATGCCATTACGCGGAGCCCACACCAGTCCTCAAGTTTGTCCATAAATAGGAGCCCCCGACGCTGCATTTCTTCCCTTTTCTCCTCCTTCCTGATCCTCCCCATATAACATTTTCTTCGAGTTTTTTGTTTTCTTTATTTTCTGCTAAATTTTATTCCAAGTGTTACTAAAGCCATGCTGTTCACCGATCCGACGATGTTTTGCTCCAATCCCATGGTCGAAATTGATCCATTTTCTCCCCTGGAAAGCGGGTGGGATTGCTCCCAACTTTTTTCCACTACACAACTAGTAGGACCCGCCGGGTCGGGTTCCGCTTCAAGTGAAGCAACCCGAAACCAAACCAACTCCAATTCCGGTTTGGATGAATCAAACCAATCGATTTCCATCATCGACGACCGAAAGCGGAGACGTATGATATCGAACCGGGAATCAGCCAGGAGGTCACGGATGCGTAAACAAAGCACTTAGAAAACCTAAGGAACCAGGCAAACCGGCTTAGAATGGAGAACCGACAACTGACCAACCGTTTGAGGTTCCTTTTGTACCTTTGTCACCGTGTGAGGACCGACAACGACCGCCTCCGATCTGAACAGAGTATGCTCCGACAAAAATTGTCGGACATACAACAAATATTGCATTTCAAGCAACTGCAGCAGTTTTCTTCATCTGCATGGCCATGCAATAACGTTACGGTCATGTCCGAACAAACTACACCATTAATCATCTAAATATAAATCTTTACAATAACTTCATCAAAATTCTCTCCAAAAAATAAAATCTAGCTAATCTCTATCTATCTTCTACCTTTCTGTAAATATAAAACTGGTGTTAGAGAAAGAAAATCGGGTGTTTTTTTTGAAGAAACTAGAGTATTGTTGTGTAAAAAAAGTTGGTCAGTGTTTCGTTTTTCTTTGTTGTTTGCATTGAAAAGTAGACTAAATTATAGGCTACCACTTTATGTTTTGCTTTATATTTAATGCAAGAAGGCAAATCATTGAAACTTACTTTTGTCATATTATATACAAATAATCCAAGTGTCGGCAATGTGTCCAAGTTAATATTTGATTTTGCGACTTTAATGACTCCATTGAATTTGGATATATACCAGAAAATCTCTAAAATGCCCTTATTCAAATTTAATAAATACATTATAGTACCATATTATAATCAAATTAATATATTGAAGGAGGTGCTAAATCTAACAGTCAGCCAATGGCTTTGCTCCATTTACTATATATAAAGCTTGGCCAATGAACAATTGAGAAAATGTTCATGAAAAAGCATATCTTGCAATTTTAATCGCAAACAAATCATAAAACTCAACTACATTTGATAGAATAATGATACTTAATATTTTATAAAAAAAGATAATTTTTTTTGGTATGCCAAACTAAAACACAGTTCCTCTTTGTCCTGATTGTCTTTGGTAGAATTAATTGGACTTCGATCGAGTACAAAAAATGGAAACGTATTAGATTAATGGCTTTAAACACTTGTATATATGTCAGTATCACTTGTAAACTTATACATATACATAATATTTTTCTAAAAAAATGCTCCGCTCACTATATAAAACTCTACTAAATCCTGATGTACTTAAATTTAATAATTAAAATAATTGAAAGAAACAAAATGTGACATTGAACGTCATCCAGATATCCAATTTGTTAATAACAAGAGTATGCTTTCATCATGTACAGTTTATACGATTATTACGCGCTATAATTTTAAAAAGTGAAAGGTTTAATTTTTTATTCATTCATATTTTACTATAGTTTTAAAATAAAACTTTGAAAATATTTTTATTCATTCATATTTAAGATTAAATTTTTAGTGTGAAAATTCAATTAAAAATTAGTGGTAAAACCCAATCAAACATAAATTAAGTGGCAGAATTTAATATTAAGTTAAAGCAATTGTAAATGTATCTTTAATACAATAACAAATTAGTTAAAGGGAATGTTGTCCTCACTTAAAGTTCTGGATTCGAACAGTTGCATCGGTAAGATATGTTAATGATTATTTTTTTTTAAACAGATACTATATTATATTCAACTTAAACTACTAAAAAATAAATAAAGTAAAACGACAAATTTCAATTTTCAACTACAGCACAGTGAGAAATTTGCCCATTAACCTTTGTTTACATTATTTATTTTCCACTATATATAGGACAAGAAAAATCATAATATGCGTAGACACACTTTATACGACCAAAATATATTTATATATTATATACATAATTATATATATATTGTATGATTATTATTATTATTTTTGAAACTAACACATTTTTCATTTCTGTATCAGGCCCAATTGGTGCCCAAATACAACAGCTGGCCCACACCAGCCACAACCCACAGACCCAACTGCCATGGAAATCCTAGCCCCCATATGCTCCACAGCTGCGCACAACAGTCAAGGAAAGTCCCACAGTCGCACGTTACTCCTCCGATCTTTTCAGGTGGACGTGACTCCAAGCCACCAAAGTCACGCAGATCTCGCAAGCATTATCAACAACCCAAACAACCCACCAATATGATAATTCCAGTTAGAATAGGAGTCTTAAAAATAGGGTTTTGTTCAACTATAAATAACATGTAATCACCATTGTATTGGACTACGAATTTCATACGATTACGCACGAGAGGAAAATAGTCACAAAATATTGTAAAAATACGCAGGTATTTACGAGAAAAAAAATCCGAGCTTTGTAAACAATTCAAAAAGGAAATAAAAGGCAGCTTTTTTACCTTGATTCGCTCGTACCTTGCATGTGCATGTTGTTTTCCTAAAATTTTTGGTTTGGATAAAACCTAAAAAGCTTTTAGCCGATGACCGGAATGGGGGTAATCGAAAATTTCTCTTTTATATCTACACTCATACGAGGCTTGGTTTTAAAAAACTATGGTGTTTTTCGTGACGAGTGTGTTATGGGATTTCGGAAAAATTAAAAAAATTTAAGGTTTGTCGCTGATGAACGGCGGCACGGTGCCGAAATCTGGAAAATCCAGGCGCTGTTCTTCATCTCTCAAGAACAATTGAGAGAAAAAGAGAGATGGGGGGAGAGCTTTCGTGGAAGAGGAGGAGAAATGAAGAATTAAAAGATTTTTTTGGGTCTTATACCAAACCCG